CCCCCCCCCCCCCCCCCCCCCCCCCCCACTCCGCCCCCAATACTGTACAGCACCGGATTATACCATCCTGCCTCCCTGCCGTGGGGGAGAGAGGGAAAACAGCGGGAGCCTGCATACATTGCCCGGAGCGGCTGCCAGGCTGCTGAGCCGGCGCTGTCCAAGGTGGGGAGAAGCGGGGGGGGGCAGCGGGGGACAAACCCCCAAACTGCCGCTGCTGCTTCTCCTTATCCCATCTTCGTCGTCCCCCACTCGGGGTGATGGTAGAAGCCCGGCTTTCGCAAACGCGAGGCTGCCCAGCGGAGTATAAAGAGCCGCGGAAGCGCGGATGGGACTCGGCTTTGGCAAAGCGCAGCTCGGGGATCGGCGCTGCCTCCGGGGGGAAGATCGCCGGCAACCTGCCCTGGAGAGGAGGCGCTTCCTCCGGACCGAGTTTCTCCCGGAGAGGTAGCAGCTCTAACCGGAGGGGTCCTCTGCCCGCTGAGCCGCTCTTGGCAGGTGGGGGAGACGGTGGCGGGTCCCTCGCGGTGCCCGCTGCCAAGCATGGCGCACGTTGGAGAGAAAGGGCTGCCTTGGCGGAGGAGCCCCGTGCTTGGCAGATGGGCGCCCAGTGGGCGAACGTGGGTTTGGAGAGTTTGAGGCTTACGACTGTACTGGTGGGAAGCCAGAAGAGGATCTTCTTCCCTGGGTCCGTCCGGGTCTTCTAGGGAGGGGGAGACTCCGTTGTCCAGAGCAGCTGTCACCAACTGGTGGTCCGTGAGAAAATGTTGGTGGTCCACAGAAAAATTATTTGCATTTTTTATATTGCACTAACTACTATTTAGGTGCAGAAAATTAGTTGCATTTTTTATATTGCACTAAATGCTATTTAGACACAGAAATATTAGTTGCATTTTTTATATTGCACTAAATGCTATTTAGACGCAGAAAAATTATTGGCGTTTTTTATATTGCACTAACTACTATTTCGGCGCAGAAAAATTAGTTGCATTTTCTATATTGCACTAAATGCTATTTTGACGCTCAGCTTGTTGATCAGAATGGTCCGCAGTTCAGCAGTTCGAATTCCTAACGCCGCGTAACGGAGTGAGCTCCCATGACTTGTCCCAGCTTCTGCCAACCTAGCAGTTTGAAAGCAGGTTAAACAAAAATGCAAGTAGAAAAATAGGGACCACCTTTGGTGGGAAGGTAATAGTGTTCTGTGAGCCTTTGGCGTTGAGTCATGCCGGCCACATGACCACGGAGACGTCTTCGGACAGCGCTGGCTCTTTGGCTTTGAAACTGAGATGAGCACCACCCCCTAGAGTCGGGAACACGACTAGCACAGATGTGCGAGGGGAAACTACCTTTAAATACTATTTATCTTTTTTTTAAAATCATATTAGTGTCCTCCTGATTTCAGATTATGAATCTAGTGATCCCTGAGATCTGAAAGGACAGTGACTCCTGGTCCAGAGAGCCGGACTGGAGTGTGTGTGTGTGTGTGTGTGTGTGTGTGTTGGTTTTGGTGAGACTAGATGTTGCTACTTCCTTTTGTTGGGCTAGCTAGCTAGAGAGAAGAAAGAGCTCTTAAAGAGTTGTTTGAGTTGGGGTGAGGGAGGCATAAAAAGTTCAACTTGGCGTCTTGGTGGTAATTCCTGAATTTCTCAAAGGGGTGTGTATATCTGACAAAGCACCACCAGTTTTGGAGAGACCGTCCCAGTAGGATGCTTAGGGTCTTCACTGAGAAGAGGAGGGATGCCAGGCTAAGAAGATGCCCGGCTGCTCCCCACTTTTCCCAGTTCAGTAAGAGTTCCCATTCAAGCAGGCCTCGTGGTTGGACTCCGAAGCCTGGGTATTTTTCCAAGGGGGGTGGGAAGGAAGGAAGAGGAATAAGGAGAAATGATTGAAGCAAGAGATCCTGAAGGAAGGGGCTGCCATCGCCTTAAAAAACCAACCCCTGAGCCCCTGTTTGCACCCCTCAATTCAAAGCACACCCTGAAATGTTTTGGCGAAGGTGTCTCCTAATTTGTCCAATCGGAATAGAGTTGGAAAGGACCTTGGAGGTCTTCTAGTCCAGCCCCACTTGCTCAAGCAGGAGACTCTGTACCGTTTCAGACAAGTTGCTGTCTGGTCTCTTCTTAACCTAGTAGGGTTGCATCCCAATGCAAAGTCTCTGCCGCCAGGTGACTGGGATGGGAGCTGAGCCAGGTGAGGTGGGGTTGGGATGAGCTGGGATTGCCACCTCTTTGTTTAGCTTCCTTAGTGGCTAAGTCACACTTTTCCTATTTGCATCAGCTTCATCCGTGCATCCAGCAGACAGCCTGGCAGGTGCATTTAGACATCGGGGGTCACCAAAGGGGCTGGTCAAGGTCCTTGGGTCTCTAGCTGAAGATCTTTGGGCCGAAGTTGAATAGGACCCCTGCTAGAAGGAACTAGCTAAGCAGAGAAAAGTGGGAACAGGAATGGTTTGTCCTTGTCAAGAACCTGTTTTAGGGCTTCACAATTTCACTTTTGTCCCTTGAAATCCTGGCATTACTGTGTGTGTGTGTGTGTGTGTGTGTGTGTGTGTGAGAGAGAGAGAGAGAGAGAGAGAGAGAGAGAGACAGAGATGAGATAAAGAGAGAAAGATACAGAGAGAGAGAGAGAGCGATGAGAGAGACATATGAGAGAAAGAAAGAAGAGAAAAAGAGAGATACAGAGCGCGCAATGAGAAAGAGAGAAATTATATATACAAACATATAGAAATTATATATACACACATATATATGTGTGTGTGTGTGTGTGTATGTATATATATATATATATATATATATATATATATATATATATATATATATATATATATA